TTTGCAGAACAAGGGCAAAAGGATAACCACTGTTCTTTGTGCACCTTCTTATCAGCTGTTTACATATTGTTGGTACCACCAGAAGCCAACAACTTTTTGTTGTTGAGCTATCAGTCCCCTCTCAATTATGTCCAAAAGGGCTTTCCTGCCTGGCTGAAGAACAGGAATTCACTCACAAGGGTCATACACTAGTCAGATCTTCCATGTGAGGTTTCAGCATACAGCGTGCAGAGAAGACATAAGCTATTATGCTTTAGACAAACAGTTTCACCTCTCTTGTATAGCTTGAGATATAATTGTATAGCTCATACATTAAGAAAATGCTACAACTTGACCCTACCACTAACTTGACACATACAAGTTTTAGTACTTAAGAATTTAAGTCAAACTACTAGTTTGAGGAAAGCCATGAAATCCAGACTGTACCATCTGACCCTGTTGCCCTCTCTGTGCCCCCGCTCACACAGGGCTGGCAGCAACACCAGCTACATGCACAAAGCATAGAGCCCTCTCTATGTGGGCAAATAACCCTTCGTCCTAAAACAGCACAGCTATTTTAGTGAACAATATAGACTCCTGGCTGTGCAAGATGCCAACTAGCACAAAGTTCTTATCTGCTCTGCAAGCAGAAACAAAGGCTAAGGAGCACAAGGAGCAAACACAGGTGATTGCAAAGAGCCTTGTTAAAGCCTAGGACAGTGGCACCTTTTATAGCACTGCAATATGGTGGCACACAAAATACAGCAGCTCAATGCGCTATGCTCCAATTCTGCAAAAGCAAGCGAGCCCCTGCTCCTGATTCCAGCAAGCACCACTTCCCTAGCAGATTTTTTTCAGCTTTGTGATGTTTGTTCTCGTTCTAGAAGACAGGAATACTTGAATGCCAGCATGGGAACAGTTGGACCTTCAGTAAACCCCTTTATCCTGTACTGTATCAGTTTCTCAAGAACAATAAGGGCTACCAATTACCTTACTGTGGAAGTCTGCAAGCATAGTACTGTGCTGAGATGACACGAGAAAGTTATTTCCAGCAGTAAACGCTACCAACACTGCTGGCGGTTCGAGTGTTCTCACATACTATCACAGTCTCTTAAATGCAAATGCCATCCTGGTCATGCCAGCCAGCGCAGCTGCTCTAGCACTAAGTCTTACAGTCACTGAATCAATTAGCAGAGAAAGCTTCACAGATATCAAAGAGCCCGAGCTATTGTTACCATGGCCTGAGCTTCTGTTTCTAGGGCCCCATTTCAAAGACCGAGCCTTTGAAAACAGGCTCTTCAGCCACTTCAGAGCATGCAGTCCTTCAGCATGA